CTTCACTTTACAGCTAAACTATATGCCATTGTATGGATATACTAGATTTTGTTTATTCTTTCATCATTTGATAAACAGGTAGGTTGCTTTCACTTTCTGTATTAGGTGAATTATTTGTATTATGCATAATGTTGCTGTGAATATTCACGTACAAGTTCTTATGTGGACATACGTTTTCAATTCTCAGAATTTACACCTGTTTTTTTCCTAAAAGTTTTATAGTTTTAACTACTATGGTTAGGTCTTTTTTTTATTTTTAGGTTTTTTTTTAAATATATTGTGAGGTAGGGATTCAACTTCACCTTATTGCATACAGATATCCAGTTGTCTCAGCACAATTTGCTGAAAAGATTATTCCTTCCCCCATTAAATTATCTTGACATTCTTGAAAAATCAGCTGACTATAAGTGTACTGGTTTATTTGTGGCTGTTTTTAATATCTACTGAGATAAACATAAGATTTTTTTTCAATATGAAGCACTGTTAGAATTAATAATTTTTAACTCTCTTTAGTCAAGAGATGACTCAAATTCAGGTATGATGAAGTACTCTTTTTTTTTTTTTTTTTTTTTTTTTTTTGAGACAGAGTGTCACTCTGTTGCCCAGGCTGTGAGAGTGCATTGGCACAATTATGGCTCACTGCAGCCTCAATCTCCCGGGATCAAGTAATCTTCCACCTTAGTCTCCCAAGTAGCTGGAACTGCAGGCATGCACCACCATGCCTGGCTAATTTTTGCATTTTTTGTTTTTCGTAGAGATGGGGTTTTGCATTTCGCCTGGGATTTTCTCAGACTGCTAGGCTCAGGCAATCCACCTGCATTGGCTCCCAAAAAGCTGAGATTACAGATGTCAACTATGCCAGGCCAGTCATGGTGAGTTACTCTTTTTGTACTCTGCTAAATTCGATTAGCTATTATTTTGTGTTAATAAGTGAGACTGACATATTGCTTCCTTTTTTAGTGGCATCTTTTTCAGGCTTTGTTATGAGGTTTATGTAGGTTTTATAACATGAGCTCCATCTTCTATGATTTGAGAAAATAAAGAGTTTAAAGGAATTCATAATTTAAAATGTTTAAGGTCCCCTGACACCTCTGGAAGTAATTCCCTTACTCTTATCTGTGAGGTCTCAGGTATCTGAAAAATTATGTATCCAAACCACAAATGAATGCTTAACTCAGTTGTGTTTCAGTTATGATTTAAGAACAAGTCACTAACTTAAGAACAATGTTATTCTCTTCTCCCCCGTCCACGTCAGCTGAAGTTATCCTTTACATTAATAGTTTGCTTACCCGAGGTTGTTGTCATCTTTCATTTTTCCTGAACACTCATCATGTTTCCCTTGATCTGCAGCTGCTGCTACTTAATCTAAAGAAAATGCAGCCTGTGCAGTTGACATATTTGCTTTCCTAAATACCTTGCATCTGTCTTTACATTGAAGTTTGCATCTCCTTGTGATGGTTAGAACATAGGCTTGGAGCCAGGCTGGTGTACACCAGCCATATGACCTTTGCAGGGGGCTTTGCTTACACACCAACAATACACGGATAAAAATAGGACCCACCTCACTGGATCGTGGAGAGCATTACATGATTTAGTATTCATAAAGTGTTTTAAAATGATGCTTTGCCCTTAGAATACAGAATTTAGTACTTAAACACACTTGTCTCTGACAGGCTGAAATTTCAGAGCTTAGATATCAGGCCTCATTTCAATTCCCTCCCATATGATTTTTTTAAAATAAAACTATTCTCCTCGTTAGTACTCACTATTTCTGGATCAACAGCCTCCCCTTCTTTCACAGTGTCCTTTGTACTCTGTCTATGAAGCCCCCTCAAACACATATAGCTCTTCCAAGAAGAGTTTCATATAGCTGGAGCTCTTTTTTCTTCCTGCTGATCCTCAACCTCTTTTCACACCAAATTTAAAAGGTTTGTGGCCTCTGCTGCATCTTTAAAAGGCTGATGTCATCCCCATCGCTGATGTCCCTTTTAAGATGACTTCATGGCTTCATGCTACACGTGCACCAGTAGAAGAAATGCATCCCACATGAAGCCAGTGGAAAGCACCATGGCCTCAGCTCACCACACACAGGCAGATTACTACTCTGCTGAGCTCCATACCCTCACGACTAGCCCCCTTCTGAACGTATCTGTCTCAAGCTCAGCTTGTTCAAAAGTGGCTCTATCAGAGTCCCAAGCAAACCTTCTTCTTCATTGTCTGCAAATGGCACTGACATTTTGCCACCCAGAAAAAACCCTAGCAGTCATTCTGGATGCCTTCCTCTCACCATCCTCATCACACACCAGCCACACTTTATCAATCTTCTAAATTTCCCCTGAATTCACCCTGACACCCATACTTTACCTGGACCCCTTGTCACCATGCTGGCTCTCATCCACTCTTGACCCTTTTCGCCAGAGTGACCTTTACAAATGCAAATCTGACTTCGGATTTCTCCAGAGTGTCTTATAATTTTCAGGGTGGATGGTCAAGTTTCCTAATTTTGGCTCCAAAGCTCTTTGTGACTGTCTGTCTGCATGCAACAAGGAGCTCAGAGCTGCTCTTTTCAAGGCTGGTTTCTCCACGTCAGCTCAACCCCCTCTTTCCTGCTTCGCTCCTCTCCTTAGATTTCCCCATTTTCCACCTTATCTATCTCTTCCTTTCTATTGGATCATTTCCATTGGCATAAACTTGCTCTCTCCCCCATCTTTGTCCAGCTACATCCATTGTTGCCTTCCTTTCTAATAGACTTGCCTGCAGAGATGTCCAAGGCTTACCTCCAGCAGTTGCTTTCATGTCTGCTGCTGCCCAGTGTCCATCTGACCTCTGCCCTTCTCAGCTGCAGAGACTGCTCTCATCAGAACTGTCAGCAACCTCGTGCGTCAAATGATATACACCTTCTCCTCAGCTCACTCCAACTCTCCCTATCATTTGACACTGCTCACCACTCCTGAAAATTATCTTTTCTTATTTCTGTTGACTTTGAAGAAAATTCTTAAGAAATGCTCCTCACTTCATTCCTCCCTACTTCACAGGGCACACGCTAACTCTGCCAGCACCCTAGTTAGTGTCATCCATCCACTGTTGTGGCTTTTTAGTATGGTACCATTTATTTGTAGGTAACTTTCTCATTTACATTTCCAGTCTAGATTGAACTTCTAAATAACATGAACTTCCCACTCAACATCTCTGCTCAGATGTGCCATTAGCATTTAGAACTCACCGTGTCTCAATTGACCTCTATCACCCACCTCCCAGCACGTATGCCTGTATGTCTACAGGCAGACACATGCTGATATGCATGTCCAACACAGGCATGCATGCTCACACACAAACACACCTATACTGAAATCACCCTCCAAAGTTCCCCTTATCAGTTAATGCACAGCAACCCTCATTTGTTCTTCCTAGGAACTTGGGAGTCCACCATGACAAGCCCCTTTCTCCCACCCCTGCATGTACCCTTCCCCAAGGCCTTTGGATTCTATCCCTCAAATAAGTCTTGAAGGCACCACTCTTCTCCATCTTTGCTTGGGACAGCCTTTTCGAAGTCACCATCATTCCTGGCCTGGACTCTCTCAACAGCCTCCTAACTGATCTCTCCACTTCTCATTTGCTTCTTTTGCTACTATTCCAATCCATGTCCCATACATGATGGAGTGAGCTTTTAAAAACAGAAATCTGATCATGTCACTTCTTAAAACCATTCAAACTTAGAATGATGCATATGCTAAGACAGCGTGATTGGGAAAGGGCCCTCTGAAAAACAGATATTTAAGCTGCAGCCTCCAAGATGAGCAAGGGGGCAGCCAGAAGAAAGACAGACAAAGGTACATTCCACTTAGAGGGGACAGCAAGGGCAAAGGCCCTGAAGCATGAACATTTGAATCCTTTAAGAAAAGAAGGGGGCCCATGTGGTTGAAGCACAGTGAATGAGGCACAGAATGTTGAGAGATGGTGATGGAGAAGGTAGCAAAGGCCCGGCCATACAGGACCCTTTAGGTCATGAATTGGGAACTTTCATAATTGTTTTACATGCATGCCCTCAGGCCATAGGCTCCACAGAGCAGCATCCATGTCTGCCTGGTCCCCTTTGTTCATTTGTTCCCCATGTCCACTTCAGTCCCAGGCACATCTTTATGAGCTAAAGGAGAGACAAATGCCCCCAGCATTCCAGCCAGATCAGGTGGCTAGCAATTCCCCAAATATATCATGTCTGTTTCCTCTCCTAATGGTCTTGTTCTTTTCTAGTGGTGAGGTTCTCAACCAAGGGTGGTTTTGTCCCTGGGGAACATCTGTTAATGTCTGAAGACATTTGTGACTGTTACAACTGTGGGTCAGGGGATGCTGCTGTCAGAGCCGTGGGGCAGGGGATGCTGCTGTCAGAACCGTGGGGCAGGGGATGCTCCCGGCATCTGATGGGTAGAGGCCAAGGATGCCAGTAAACATCTTGCAGCAGATAGGACAGCCTCAGCAACAAATAATTCGCATGCAGGGTCAACAGTGCTGTTTGAGGAACCCTGGTCTAGCTTATTCTACCTTTCCTTTAAGCCCCTGGAAACATCGTGTTTTTTGGAAAGTTCTTCCTCCAGATCAAAAGCTTGAGCTTGGGCCCCCTCATCTAGGATCTTCATACTTTCTTGATAGGATTTATCCCCTTGTCTTCCAGTTGCCCATTCTAACTGTCTCTCACTGGAAGCATCAGAGGCTGGAATACATCTTCCATCAACATGTTGAACACACAGTGGACCACGATTAATTTTTCTTGAATGAATGCAGCCCCCTGAGACAGGGAGAAGGGTGAAGATGAATTTGGTGGCAATACTTAAAAATGTATAGTTGAGAGAGATCAACTCATAGATTGAAAGGACATCCCCAGCCTCCTGCTTTACCTTGATAAGCTGCCTGTCTCCAGGTGTCTGTGCTAGTTTGTAACCTACGGAAATGGCAACTTCCCATGTGTCCAATCTGACAGCATGGTTCACTCAATTAGTCACTGCATTCAATTTTGTGTTTAATCCCAATAACATAAAAGACATAGAACTAGGGCATATGACAGATCTGTAACAGTGAAAAACAAAGGGCTGAAGAGTCATTTGCAGTTGGCTGTCTCATGAGCCACAGCTACTTAGCAAGTGTGGACCTGCCTGATCCACTGGCAAAAATAGAAATTCCTCTGGCCATGCATTTGTGGGTTTCAGATGTTGTGCCCACCATCAGAAACACTCAGAGTCCTCTTGTGTGGGTTTGGGTTTTGAAATGGACCCCGGTGGAGATGCTGCGCTTAGGGCAGGAGGCAGGCTCTTTCCAGTCTCCCAGCCATTGGTGCTCTGCACTCCATGCCATTCCTTTCCCCCAGCCCTTGTCCTCTGTCCCTGACTGAGTGGGTCTGATCCTGCTGGCTAGAGAAGGAGCAGCCCGAGGCACTGGAGGTGAGGGCAGGGGTGGGCATCTCCCCTCTGGCTCACTGCTTCTCCTGCTGCTGTGCTGGGAGCATCTCTCCTCGGGGCCAGGAACATTCGCTGTTGTCTGAAGGGCTCTGCTCCTCCTCTGGCTGCTGGTCATGTGCTTGGCCCTGAGCCCACCTTCTCTCCAGCATCTCCTCAAAAAAGATCTGGCAGCTGAAGCCTTCCCGGATGCCATGTTGCACGTGCTCCAGCAGAACGTCCAGGGAGGGGAAGACCTGGCAGCAGGCCAGGCAGCACAGCCCATAGTCGGTGGTGACCAGCGAGTCCGGGGGCTCCCGCACCTCCTGCAGGCAACAATCCAGCAGCTCTGTGTCCTCAGGCTCAGGTCTGCAGTTGCTCTTGCAGGCCTCCAGGTCCCAATCCAGGTCGGTGTTGGAAGCCATCTCGAAGAAGGAGCCTTTCCTCCTCTGCCTCTTGATGAACTGGGCTTCATGGATTCGGGGCTTCCCGCGGATGGGCTGGAAGCCGGCCTTGGTCTCCCAGGCCACTGCCATGCCCCCCACGGTCTACACATGCATGTAGAAGGCACACACACTCTGCGGGGCAGCGTTGTCCTCGTTGCACATGCAGGAGCAGCACGACTGGTACTGGGAGTAGGACTGGTATTTGGAGGACTCTGAAGATGGGGAGCTGCTCCAGCCCAGCATCCCCAGGACCCTGGCAGCGAAGTAGAGGCCCTCCTCCCAGGGAATGGCAGGCCCCAGCCGCGGGTGGGGTGACTCTTCTTTCTGTATGGTCCCTGAGAAGCAGAAGGACATTGTCATCAGTGCCCCCAAAGAGATCAGTGTCACATCCAGGAGCCACAGACTCTGAAAGGGTACAGGCTCTGGGAGCTCTTGGGCAGACACCACTCCCCCTGCCCATTTCCTGATAAAATGGAGATGATGATAATGCCTGCTGAACAGGGTGTGGTAATGATTGAATAAAGTATGAATGCAGTCACCAAACCCTTGACTCAACTGAGAAAGACCATTAAATGGTGAGTAACAGAGTTATAGACACATTAAGGATAGGACGATAAAGATCAAATAATGTATTAATCACCAAAAACTTGACTAAAGCAAAGACCATCATCTGGGGAACAGGTAAGCAGACGGTGGTACATCATACAATGCAACCTATTATATACGTGAACTGCTGAGACGTGCAACATTCATTATGGATGAATCTTGAATGCGTTATGCTAAATACAAGAAGCCAAACGAAAGGCATGTGATCATGAGAGAATGTGAACAAAAAGAAAAAAAAAAGCCATGCATCGTATGATTCCATTCAGATGCCATTCTAGAAAAGGCAAATTTTTAGGAACAGAGAACAGGTCAGTGGTTGCCAAGAGCTGGGGATGGGGTGAGGGGAGACTGCCCATAAGGCACAAGGGGACTTGTAGGGTTTCTGAAAATGTTCTTTATCATGATTGTGTTGGTTGCTCCACAAATGTACATGTGTCAAAATTCTTCAAATTGTGCATTTAAAATTGCTGATGTCTGTGTGCATAAAAGACACCTCAATAAAGCCCATTTAAAAAACAACACATGCGAAGTGCCTTGGCCAGGCCACCCAGGCTCACAGTTCTCTTCAACATTTGTGACCTGTCTTCACCTTACGCAGGGGTCATCTCACCATCTCCTTCAACACTTGCTGTGTACCCCTCACCATGGAAGTGCTTGCCAAGTGTTAGCTCCTTTAAAATTCAAAACAACCCTAAGAAATTATATAGTTGGGATCCCCATTCAACAGAGTAGGAAACAGAGGCATGGAGTTTGAATAAGTGGTGGAGCCACTGGGCCCCCAGAGCGGGTGTGACACTTAGGTGCCGTCCACAGACTCGTCCCAGTGGTCTTCAAATTGATGTTCTAGATTAACGTTCATCAATTTATTATAAAGGAATTTTTTATTTTGCTCCTGAAATCACAGGATTAACATGTTAATTGTTTTCTCAAATACACATTAAAACAAATACATAATTATAAACATTTTATGTTTTCATCCTCGTATCCCCTGGAAACACCTTATGTACTCACAACAACAGCCTCAGTCATACCAAGCGTCCCATCAATATCAATTTCCTTTCTCTCGACAGGTATGTTTATGGTCAACACAACCCTTTGGTAACAGTAACAGGAGGCAACCTGGCAATGTCCCTTCCCATCGGGGCTTCCCCCCAGGGAGCACACGTGGCTGACCTTCCAGGCCTTTCTTTTGACCTACCTGGCCAGCATACTTCCACACTCTCCTCAGTGGACCCAGGGCTGGTCAAGCTGAGGGTGGTCCCATCAGTAGGTGACTGTTCTCCCCTGTGGTCCATGAAGTGACGTTTCATGACTTGAAATGAATGCACAGGGTCTTGGTGCTCCAGCTGTTTGGTGGGAGTTGGCTGGGCTGTACTGAAGCCCTCCAGCTGGCCCTAGCCAAAGTGGACAGTGAGCTCCCCATGGTGGCTAAGATGCTGGCTCTACTCTATGACCTCATCGATGGCACTGTTCTGTTCTGTGACCTGTGGGAGGGCAGAGACTGAACCTGGACACCAGGAGAGGCTTCCCAACCTGTTCTTATTTCCCTGTGGGATCTTTTCTCTCTTGTGTATGATCAGGGACACACACAAACGCAAAACGCTCATATTCTTCAATACTTAGACACACATAAAAACACAAACACATAAGCACAGAGGCACTTGTACACACTTAAGCATGCATGGAACCACGGTCTTAGTCCACTTGTGTGGCTACAAAGGGATACCTGAGGCTGGGAGATTCATAAAAGAAAGAAGTATATTGCGCTCATGTTTCTGGAGCCTGTACGTGAAGCATAGTGCCAGCATCTGCTTCTGGTGAGGGCCTCAGGGAGCTTCCATTCTTGGTAGATGGAGAAGGGGAGCAGGTATGTTTAGATCACATGGGTGAGAGAGGAAGGAGGAGAGAGTAGAGGAGGTGACAGGCTCTTTTCAACAGCCAGTTCTTATGGAACTAAGAGTAAGAATCCATTACCACAAGGATGGCACTGAGCCCTTCATGAGGGATTTGTCCCCGTGACCCAAACATCTCCCACTAGGCCAACCTCTCACATTGGATATCAAATTTCTATGTGAGATTTGTTGGGGACACATGTCCAAACTATGTCATTCACATACAAAGAAACATATACGATCACTCAGACATACATATACACTGGAACACACATGACACACACAGTAACATAAATATATGTATGTGTGTTCACAGACACACATACATAACAGGCTCACACATACAAATTCACTCACATATTTACTTAACCACACACACATACATGCATACAAACTCATGCCAGATTAATTAACCATACATAGGCTCACTTACATACAGTCATCACCCAACATCGAATAGCCCTGCTTTCCAATGTGGGAAATGTCTCCTTCTCTCCCCTATCCCAAGTCCCCACGCTGACCTTGTCCAAGCACCTCAACCCTCCACAACCCCACCCCTCCCCTCTCCTCTACGCACTCCTTGCTCAGTTTCTGTGACTCTAGGCACCTCGCTGCTTCCCGGACATGCCAGGCATCTTCCCCTCCCAGGCTCTGGGCTCTCGCACTTGCTCTTCCTTGTTTCTGTTCCAGGCTCTCCCCTAGGTTCCTGTGTGTCTCCCTCCCCTGCCAGTCTCCTCTGAAACCTCACCCGGTCAGAGGAGCCTGTTCGGCACCCCCAGGAGACTAGCCTTCTTTGGCCCCACATCTCTCTGTCACCTTAGCCTGCTTTATTTTTTCATGATAGCATTTACCACCCTAGACTGTATATAATGTCTCTGTATGTCATAGGTTTACCTGTATCTGTCTTGTCCTCCTTTGATTTAAGCTTAGGAGGATGGAGACTTCTTTCATTCTTTCACCTCATTATACCCGTAGTGTCTAGAATAATGTTTGACATATTAACAAGCACTCGAGAAATAATGAGTCAACAGCTGATGAGCACGTTGGGCTGACAAAGGTGTCACTCCCTCTGGGAGCTGCCTCCTCTGTGCTCCCTGGACCTCTGCATCTCCAGGGTAGCTGGTTCTCTCCCACCAGGACTCTAGGAATTGCCTCTTCCTTCTCCACTTGCACAAACCACGCTTCAGCCTCAATCAGCCTGATACAATGTCCACCTGCCATCTCTCTGCTCCGTGATACTCTGACACTTCACTCATTTCCTCCACGCTTCTTACCACTTCCCTCTGTGGCTAAACTCTTCCCACCCTTGGTCAGTCTCATCAACTCTATTCCTTTGAATCCCAAATACTAAACGGTTCAAATAGGTGATGGACTGAAAATAATCTCAATATTCCACTAGCAACACCAGCATCCCACACACACCCAGCACCGAGGAATATCCTCCTCTCCAGAATTTGAGGCCACTGTGTGAAGGAAGACACCATGGTGCTCTACTGAACCATGACAGTCACACTTGAACTAAACAGGAGACTATGTCCCATGGCTAAAAGAGGAAACAGTGTAAGTGCATCCTTTCTTAACAAATAAATACAGAGACTTGCCTTACAAAAACAAGAGGGGGCGGCCAGGACAGAAAATAAGTAGGTCAATGGGGGATGGAAGGCAGTTCAGAAAGACATGACATCATGAAGAATTGCTGAGGGGTAAAGTAAACAGCAAGTCTGGGAGGAAAGGAGACTCAGCCAACAAACGATACAGAAAAATTTATTTGGTATTTTTTTGAATCAACTTTGGTCTCACTTCATGTAAAACAATTAAGGATATTTTCATAATGGTTCAGAGCTTATGTTTTAATGAAAAATGTGTAGAAAGAAAATATGTTAACATTTGTAATTACAGGGTGGTTTTTCTCAACTTAAACAATATTAATCTTCACAAGTGTTGAGAACCTTTGTCATCATTTCTAATTTCAGTGCTTTAAAAAAACTCAGTTTTAATTTGTATTCCTCTGCTTTTCAGTGGAACTGGGAAAACAAATAAACAAAAAACAGCAAATGAGCAAGCAGTTTCCAGGGGAAGAAATGCAGATGGTTGATAAACATACGGGAAGATATGGAGTCTTACGGTAATAAGGGAGCTACAACTTAAAAATGTGTGATATACAGTACAGCATTTTTCACCCATGAGATAGGCAAGAGTTAAAAAAAAAATGGACAAAACCCAGTAGGGCATAAGGAAATGAACACTTTTATTCTCTATTGGAACAGTGTACCTCACCTTTCTCAAAAAGTTTGGTGGTACCCATTAAAATTAAAAGTAGACGTGTGCTTTCTAAGCAGTTTACTATCATTTCTTCCTAGGGAACCGTCACATTATGTGCTATGTGCATCAAATAGCACCTAGAGAAATATTTTTTGCAGCCTTGTGTATAATAGAAATAAAAACAGGAGACATTCCTGAGATCCATCAAATGAATAAATTACAACATAACCAAACTGTGGAATACTACACCACAAGAAAAAGAAGGAGATCTATACATACTGATGAGTGTTTCACGTTAAATGAGAATACAAGATACAAGGAATATATAGATGACCCCATTAACGTAAAAGTTAAACACACACCCTCAAACCACCTACGAAATTCTACATTGTCTATGTATCAAAAGGCACAGAGGAGATCTGAAAATAATCACACCCAAGAGAAAACAATGTTGACCTCAAGAAAGAGGCGAAAGATTAGAAGGGGCTGCGCAAGAATGAATTTCCCAAAGATGGCCGCAACAATCTATATCACAACCCACATCCTCTTCTGATAGCATGACAGGGTCCCTCTTCCTGAACTGGGGTGGATTCGGTAACTGCCTCAATCAAAACAGAATGCACAAGAGTGATGTTTTATGACTGTCAGCGCCAGGCCATAAAAGATGTGACTTCCTCCTGGTTCTATCTCTCCTCTCCTTTGGACTCAGCCGCTATGTTGTAAGGAAGCTTAGGCCACATGAAGAGGTCACATAGATGCGTTCCAGGCAGCAGCCACAGCAGAGGCCTCAATCAACCACCATACATGTGTGTAAAGGTGCCTTCAGATAATTTTGCTTCTCAGATGTCAAGTCTTCCAGCTGGGGTCCAAGACATCACAGGGCAGAGTCAAGCCTTCCCCTCTGTACACTGCTCGACTTCCCCACCCACAGAAAAAGTGAGCATAAGAAAAGGTGTTTTACACACTAGGTTCTGGAGCAATTTGTTACAAGCCATGGTAATTCAATGCACTTTGATTTTCCCTGTAATGTTTAAATATGTTCTAGTAAGCTAGCTCGTTGACCAGCATCTGTGCTCTGTGCATCTTCCTGGCCCAGTCAGAGAAACCTGGGGTCTGGGCAAGCCCTGTGTTTTTCCCAGGACAGCCTGGGAGGATGGTTTCCATCCTCACCCCATAGGAAATGACTTACTAGGTTGCAATGTTTATATACAGTTACTCTTGTAAAGACAAAAGCTTTACAGTGTGGGGCCCAAACAATGTTTTCCAAAGTCTCTTGGGTCAGGTTCTTCTTTCCCCAGAATCTGTACACGTTCTTCCCAAACCTCTCAAAAACCCTGTACTGTGAACCCTTCTTAGAGATAGGGAGCTTGGTGATTCAGAGGGAGTTGATGAGCTGCGAGTGGGAGAGCTGGGGGAGAAGGGTATTCCATCTCAGGCCTGGGGGCAGGGCTGCATGTCCAGGTTTTCCTGATGTTTCCCGTGGGCTACTTTTGGGACTACTTTGGAGTGAAGCCCTTCCAATGATGAGCGATTTTCCTCCTCACTCACGTGGCCTCTGGGCTGCTTCCGTCTATGGGAAGAGCCTCTGCCCTAGCCGCTCTGCTTGCATGCAGATGCTCAGCTGAGACCACCCACACAGGGCTCCCCTCATACCCCTGCAGCTCTCCAGTGGGATTTCCAGCCTTGCCAGGAAGCTCCGCGCCTCACTGCTGCAGCCAACAGAGCTGGTGTGCAAACCTCCAAAAGGACCAACGCAGCACTTTCTTGGAGCTCTGACTCCTGGCCAGCTCATTGCACACATTGCATGAGAGCCCTAAACCTTATCCAAGAGGCCTGGAATATTTTCTAGTCTTAACTTTTCTTCCAAAACCTACTCTTCTCAGCCTCTGTTTTTCCCAGCCAAGGAGGCTAACAGGAAACAAAGCGGCCACAGCACAGCAGGAAGCAGAGAGGCCGCGTCTCTCTTCACTTCTAATTCCAAAGCTTGGCTTGAGCCCCGATCTGGGATGTGGGGAGAATCACATCATTCATTCCAGGGTCCATGGGAGTCCAGAAATAGCCTGTCCACTCAGCCAAGGGGTGGTGCTTCGGTGTTGATCGTGGCATTTCTGTGGCTAGAGCCACCGTGTAAAAGTGTTGCAAGTGGGCAGCACTCCTGCTCCTGTCTCCACACCGAAAGTGGGGCCCCTCCAGGAGGGCAGGTGCCTTGCCATCCTCCCAAAGTTCTCCTATTCTCAGGTTTAACACTGGAGGGAGGGAGAAGTGGGAAGTTGCCTGGACGCTGCATGGCAGGTTTGCATGGAGTGGGCTTGGTGGTGTTCAGAGTGGGAATTTTTCCCAGTGAAGGTCAGTCCTCAGGATTTAAGGATGACCTCATTCTGTTTGGGCTGCAGAGAAAGTGCCAAAAGCTATCAGACAAACTGAGAAGTGGAGTAGGGAAGTGCCATCTTTTGAGTTCATTTTCTGTTGCTTCTTGTAGCTATTTTAAAAGAAGTGAGCCAGTGGACCACAGAAGGCTCAGCTCAGCCACAGGGAAATGTAATCCTCAGCTCGCCCAAGCAAATGGGAAAGGAAGTTTTGCTTTTGTTTTTCTTTCGACATAACAGGCTGCTCCTTTGGCAGTTTGTTTGGCGCTGACTCGGGTTTTGGCCTTCACCTCAGGGTGCTCACAGA